TCTCTCTCTCGCGCTCGCTCCCCCTCGCTCCCTAAGATCCTCGCGGAACACGCGAAAGAGAAAGAAACGGATGATTTTCAGACAAACGGCGCGACGATAACGAGGGCACCGCCGCCGGGATTCAGTCAATTGGTACCGCGCGTCGTCGGTGAACGATGATATTTAACTGCGACCCGCGTGCTACACACTGACAGCCGGCGTGGAGGAAAGGGGACCGGAAAGAAGACCGTCAGACCGCAGACGGAACCAGAAGTTGGAGGATGGTGGTTTGAAATCGGCGACGACGACGACGACGACGACGACACGTGAGAGCGACTCTCTGACAGATCCCTCACAAGGTAATTAACTTCGGGCGCGTCGCTCTCTAGAATAAATCTCGCCTCGTTAGAGCCGTTCGTCGCAGTTTACCCCCCTCCGCAATTACATCAGGGAAATTCTTCAATTTATAAGAAGGTGTATAATCGGCCACGTTCGGATTTCTCAGTAGTCTCCGCGATTTTTCACATCATCATTACCTCGTGCGCGTTATTCTATATTCGGTTACTTATTAATTTTCGCCTTGAAGAATCGTGACAATCCATTTCTTCTCCTCTTCTCGCGCTAATTAGACATCCAAGGAAGCTTTTTCCCCCCGATGAATTTTTCATTCAAAAGTCGTATAAAAATCGTCCGTATAAAAATGATCGATGAAGCGATCATCCAGGAGCTCGTTGAATATTACATTCTCGGACGTACTTTAGAGAGTTGGAAATCAATGTATTTCTAATAAGACGAGAAATCCTTTTTTTTTATATTTTTCACGTCAATAGATGTACGACAACAAATCGTATCTGTTACTCCAGTTTGAATCCTCGAGCAATTGGTGTTGAATTAATCTTCTAGTTTTACACAACGCTTCATGATCTTTAAGCTCGACAGCTTTGATCTCGCTCCTTTCTCGTAACAAAGCAACTATTTTAAGTCGTTATCGTTACATCTTTATCGAATAATTATCTCTTGCCGGTGATGTTTCGTCGTACTTTGCAAGATTCATGTAAATCTAGATTTCAACGCGAGAACGCGTTCTCTGCCATTTATTTACGACGATAGAAATTCGACAGCCGATTTTCTTACGCCAGTAAAAAAAAAAACCTGCCGAAACGAGACGTACCGATTTCATTTCTCGGCATTTTAATCTGCATTTGTGTACATATCATTAGCCCGCCAGACCTTGCCGATTGATTAGATGAACAATGGATTACGGCGCGTCGCCTCCTCGTTCGTCTCTTCCTTCTTTCCGTCTTGCGAATCATCGCAGTCGTCGTGCGCGTTTCTGTTCGCGTCGAGCGCATTTTTCATTCTTCGTTTCCTTTCCCCCTCGCTCGTTGCACCACTCGTCTTCTAAACGTACATTATCGATTAGAGATGTACCTCCCGAGTATGAAAAAAGTCTCCTTCCGCCTCCACGTCAAATCTTCCGTCCATCTTCCTCTCGGTCCGCGTGTCATTCAATCTCATGCTTGTTTCTCTCTCTCTCTCCCTCTTTCTCGCGCTTATCCTGTCTCCGTATTTCTCCGCGCCCCGGCGCGTCGCGACGAGGCGCGCGCGTTTTCTCTCCCTCTCGCGACTCGTATTCCTTCTTCCGTCTCGACTTGCTCCCTCTCGCTTCGGAGAGCACGCGCCCGCTCTCGTATAACGGCGACGATCGCCGGCTTTTCGTACATTTTCGTGCGGCCTCGCGACGTAGACCGGCCCCGACATGAAGAGGGCGCAGGAGGGGGGGGGGAGGCGCGGCGCCTTCTCCGCGACGGAGTCGCACAGTCGTGACGTGACGTTTTAGGGGTTGGTTGGTTCGCTCGCACACGGCATGCGACGGGGAAGAAGCTTGCTGCGGTGACTGCTCGCTCGCGGCGCCCCCAGTCAAGGTGCAGAAGATTCCGCGCGTGTCGCGTCGTCGTCATCGTCGTTCATCGTCATCGTCGCCGCCGCCGCCGCCGCCGCCACCGCCACTACCGTCGTGCTGTACCGGTGATTCTCCGGTACAGAGAGCGGTCGTCTCTCTCTCTCTCTCTTTGATCGCGCGATCTTTTCTTCTTATTGCATCGCACCGTGTGTGACTCAGCTGCGAACGCGACGATTCAGACATCCCCGCGGATTTACGCGGATGAAACGTGGATTTCGCGCGCGCGGCAAGCGCGAAAGTCGCGGGTCGTCGCGGCGCACTCGATCATCTTTCTCGTTCTCTCTGTCCCGCCTCTGTCTCCGCCTATCTCTCTCTCCGTCTCGCGCGCGCACTGCGCCGTCCTCGTTCGATCGCGATCACTTTCGGTGTGGCCGACAGTTCGGGCGGCGGCGGTAGCGTGGGGGCGGTGGTGGTGGTGGTTGGTGCGCGCGATGAGAGGGAGCGGAGGGGTAGGAGGATGATCCACGCGCAGGAAGGAAGGAACGACAAAATCGTTTAGTATTTATTTGAAAGTGTATTTACTGATATCCTCGCACCCTCGTTCGTTCACTCGCTCGCTCGCTCGCGCAAAACGCTCGCGCTCCGGTTTTTTTTTCTTTTACACGGATAACGAATTCACGGTCGAGAGTATACCTCTCTATCCTGCTGTTCAACCGTATATACGTGTCGATCACGCGGACGTCACGGCGGGATCGTTCGGATCGATCGCGTTACGACTCTCGATCTCTCGAATGGAACTTGCGTCTCGACACGAGAGGAACCACCGTGCGAATGCGTGAATAATTTTTTTTTCCTCGCGCGTGTGTCAAGTGTTATGCTTCACTTCTCCTTTCGCCCGGAGATAAACACACGCAAGCCCGCCCGCGGTTGTTCGCACGCACGCACGCACTCACGCACGCACGCACGCACGCAGCGGCGCCCCATCGTCGTCGTGTTCGGTTCATTGTTTCGGTCATTAGCTTACGCGGCATGACGGCCGATAGGCTGTGTTACCTCGCGATAACGCATTGGCATTTGGCGAACTACTGTGATTCCCGTTGCCGGCCGAGCGTGCCTTAGAAACTGTACACTTTCGTGCGAGAGTACTTTAGTGATGTATGTGTGTCAGTGAAGGTATCGTGTATGGGGGAGATCGATCTGTCGATCGCGCGTGTTGTGTGCGTGCATCTCACCTTCTCGGCACGGGAGTGTGGTATAATAAACAACATTTGTAACGTGTGACACATGCTAATTTGCAAAACTCGCATAATCTCACCAGCAGCGCAGCGGTCAAATTGTGCAAATATAGTAACGGCGCGTTGCTCGCGCCGGCGATACCGCCGGCAATAGAGCGCGCGAGAGTGGCCGAAAAAGTTGTAATTTAATTTGATTTTTTAACTCTCTCTCTCTCTCTCTCTCTCTCTTTTCAAGTCGAATCACGCGAGACGACGGTTTTTTGTTCGTCTGTTATCAAACAATGTACGCTGGCAAAGTTATCTCGCGGATTCGTCACACATAAATTTAGCAGAATGCGATAGCGCGACCCTAGATATATTATAGAAACTCAAAGTGAGCTTAAAGGATAGCGAGATACGAGCGTCTCTTATTTTTTTATCGTGCAACGGGAGAAAAAAAAATGCGAAACCGGAAACGATTGAAATTCGGAATTTCATGACAGAGTTCCGATGCATGTATTTTGGTAGGGTAAATGGATTTGCGAATCTGTTATGCAGATTTTGTTGTTTGTTAAAACGGCAAAATGCAGCGCGGCGGTGATACAGAGAGAAGTTATCAGTTTCAATTTCGCTAATAAACCTTCGTTCGTTGCGGTGCGTACAGGACGTGCGAAACGTCTACGTTTTCACGCTTCGCGAAACCTCATCGAATTACGCGCGCGTCCCTCGGCATTTTTCTCAACGCGCTGGCACGCACTCGCGCGAAGAAACAAGCGCTCTGTAAATTTGTTTTAAGATCTCTTTCCTCTCTCTTTTTTTTTTTTTTTTATCATTACGCTAAGATAACACTATCAGCGCACATTTAGTGCTCCCGCTTTTATAAGTAGCGGAGAATTATTTAATCAAACGTGCTGAATTGGCTCCAGCTTGACGACCTAATTTTTCCCGTATGGCGAAGCGGCGAATCGCACATTACGGTGCTTCTTACATTTTTATTCCCGCGATCACGCCGTCCCGTCACCTCCTCCTTCTGCGCGCGATTCTGGGCAAATAAAACGCATGTCTCTCCTTCTCGCGCCGCGGTAAGTTTATCTTAGTTTATACGCCATTTCTCCACTTGCTCGATAGAAATTTCCAATTCATTATGTCACTACGCGATTAACGAGCGCGCGTTAGTCTTTTAGTTTTCGGACGATAATCGTGTATGCGGACATTTTGGAATAAAGGAACGTGAAAACGTCTTATCGACGCGCGCGATGTAATCAACTTATTGCCGCTTTTTACGCGTTTCTACTAAGTATAATCAATCTTGCGCCTCTCTTTTATTTCTTAAGATCGACTCGAGAAACTTTGAGCTATCCGAGTAATAAATTTACCTGTGACGAATCAGAATATATTTTTTTGTTGCCAATTCAATTTTTCTCTACGCGGAAGATTGATATCAAATTTTGTCATCGTTGTAACACCAAGTGACGCGAGTTGAGCAGCTAAATTAAGTATGCATGACGCAATATAAAAATAAATTCTCGTGCATCTAACTGTTGCGTTGTTTTTTTTCTCTTTCAACACATTTTCTCTTTATAATCAAACCTCCGGAGTTTATCAGGAATATCACGTCGTACACATGCAATTGCGATTTGCTATCGGTATCGAATGTGTGTTACACGTTGCAATTGTGTTTTCGAATGTCGAAATTGGACTTATCTAAAATTATCAGTTTGCAAGCTTATCGGCGCTACAAGTCGTGCCCTAGGAACGGCTTGTAGTCGAAAATCTCAATTATGCGAAAATCTTAAGTGCGCGCACTTAAGATCCGTCACGTTAGTTTAAGCGGGCGTTTAGATCTTAAGTGACCAGTCGTGTCGTCCAGTCGATGGCAGCAAGGCGTTAAATTTTCATTGCAGGTGAATAGACACAACGATGGTAGATACACAACATTTTTGTCTGCGATGGAACAATTACCAGAGCAGCATAACCTCGGCGTTTGAAAATCTGCGGGACGATGAGGACTTTGTGGACGTGACGCTGGCCTGCGACGGCAAGAGCCTGAAAGCGCATCGCGTCGTCCTATCCGCCTGTAGTCCATACTTCAGAGAATTGCTCAAGGTGAGATTCGCCTCTCTCTCTCTCTCTCTCTCTCTTTTTCCCTTATTCCCACCTTTAATGCCAGCGAAGACCAGTTTCCGGTTCGCGTGAATTTCGGAGCGAATTCGCTCGCATACGATGAAAAATCTTATATAGTCTTAGGACCATTTTATAAACAAACCTCAATCTACAGATTTTATTCTTACGTAAGAATAATTGCTGAAAAATTAATCTATACATTGGTAGAAATGGAAAGAATTGATCGGGTAAAGTCCATGGCACATAGAAAAACGTAATCAGTAAGCGAATTGACCAATCACAGTTAAGAACGTAAGCGGCCGCCGCCGCTGATTACGTTTACGGTCTTACGTTTTTCTACGTGCCATGGGCTTAACTGTTCGCCTAATGATTATGCGCAATAAACGTTGCACTGTTTCAGAGCACTCCGTGCAAACATCCAGTGATAGTGCTCCAGGATGTAGCGTTCAGCGACTTGCATGCCTTAGTGGAGTTTATATATCACGGCGAGGTGAACGTGCATCAGCGTTCTCTCAGTAGTTTTCTGAAGACGGCGGAGGTCCTCAGGGTATCGGGCCTCACGCAACAGGCTGACCAAACCGACAGAGACGAGGTACGTTTTTTTTTTTCGAACGCAATTATGGGGTAATTCCGGTGAGTTTTGTCGGATTGTTTGATGCTGCTGCGCCCGCCCGTCACTCCCGTCAGGCACGTGAGAACGTTGTGTTCGCTGCGCGTTTACACGGGGTGACAATGGAGGAGAGCGACAGCTGGCGTAAGATTCTATCTCCCGTTCCAATTTTCTCGACCGTGTAGCACATTTGAAATCGAACACAAACCGTAATTATACGGTTTTGTAGGGGTTTTTGGTAAAAACGCGTGTAAAACGCGTGTTTGACGCGCCTGCTGCACGTACGTGCGGGTGCGTCTGTATGTGTCGTCTGCACGTCTCTCGCGTGCGCGATACAAACGCGCGTAAGTATTTGCGGCCGCACGTAACGTATAGTAACGTGTGTAGCTCGCGCGTATCTCTCGAAAGCTCAAGTTTATCTCGCACGCCGTTATTATCTCGCCGTTAGACGTCCTTACGCATCTTCCCCCTCGTTATCTCGATGTAAGAACGCGTGTCTATCTTGATTCCAATTGGTGCAATTGTCATAGGTCAAGCAAACAAAGATAAAGTGCGGCACCATGCGAAAATCGCGGGTATATCCACCGTAAATGTAAAAAGTATCGAATATCGATACGTGGTGGCGTCGCGACGTCGCGGGACTCTTCAATTTGCTGGCCGCACACTCAGCACCGCGAACTATCATTTTCGGCGGAACGATTTATCGATCGATTAAATCCGACAAATCCGCGATGTAATTACGGCCGATAGGAGAGTGGCGTGTGCGGGCGTGCGTGCGTGTCTGTATATATAATTAATACCATTGCCGTTCCGCGCGTTTTTGTTTCCAGCTGTCGCATGTCCGCGCGTTGGCGGCCGGCGGTAATCACCTGCCGTTCCACGACAAGTCGGAGGAGACTTTCCCTCGCGGCGGCGGCGGCTCGCCTACGCCTGTGACCCCGACGCCGACCACGGTACAGCAGCTACTGCGCCGTGCCCAGATACGTCGTAACGAGAGACGCACCCCAGACCCGCACGATGAGTCGGCGAAGAGACCGCGGGTGCCGTCGCCGCCGCTCAACAACAACGACGCCACTCCCACGGATTTCTCGATGGTCAAGAACAACCATCTGACGTCGACGAAGGTGGAGGGCAACGGGGTGCACGACGAGAACAGCCTCGTCGAGGAGAATATAAAGTGCGAGCCGTTGGAGTTGACGGGCGGGAACGGCGGCGGCGGCGGGAACGCCGGCAACGAGGACTCGTCGGACTCCGGCGCCGCGGCGTCGGACCGGCCGCCCGCGTCCGCGAGCAGCAACGAGCACGAGCCGGAACCGGAGCACACGTCCGCGCAGAACTTCCTGCCGGAGAGCAAGCTCTTCACGTCGACGCCCGGCAGCTTCAACTTTAGTATGGCGGCGCTCACCACCGATCACACGCCGTTATCAGGTACGTGAGGGGGACACCAGACCCCGAGGCGGGCCTGTACGCACAGACCAATTCGTGCGGCACCGCACCATTTTTCACCCTTAAGTGCGCTCTATTTGGTAGATTTACTTTTTTTTTTCATTTCCTCTCTTCTGACTAAAGTCAATCCGAGAGATTCTCGAAGATTTTTCGAAAATGCAATCGTTGTACACACGTATGTTTTAATCTTCTGCACTTAAGGGTAGTACGTATAAATTTCTCACTGTGTGCACGTTTTGTAGAATCGAAAGTCACGGATCGAATCGACCAACAGTGTTTCGTTTTAAGAAGGATATTCGGTCGACTTGATTGGTAGACTTTTGTTTGAGCACGTCTATCAGTTTAAATTTTTGACACTAGTCCGCACCACGCGTTTTTTCATTTTTAATTGCGAAATTGCGTACAGGCCGTTGTTGAGTTTCCACGCGCGATAGCATTGCCGTTGCTACGTGTGACGATAGTGAAATTTCCAGGGTTGGGCCATGGCTTGCAGACGCCGGATCTAGCGGGCACTTCGCAAGGTAAGGAAGTTGAATCAATTTTTTTTAGCTCTCTGCCCTTTTGAAATCATTAGAATTGCTTGAGAAATCGAGGTAATCGATATCACGCTCCCGCTATATATGTGGCACTCGTTATCACGCGCGCGCGCGCGCGCGCCCGTAGAAAACGTGCGTTCAATGTGCGTTCTTTTGATTTTTTTAAGGGCACTCTGCGCTACTTTATTATTCTTCCACTGACAGTCGATACATCGCGACAGACCTCGATCGTACGCGATGTAGCGCGGTTCGCTCTAATAAAAGTAACTAAAAGGACTTGTGCAGTTATATCAAACTAACCACAAATCACAAATTATAAGAATGAAAATGTTTACTGGTTGCGGTGAAAGAGCACTACTATCTGCTTGGAAGATTATTAAATCTCTTCTAATTGGCATGCGTTCCAAAATCATCGATATCATCATTACTATACGGCACCATTTACGAATCGCCTACATTTTGCATATCATAAAAATCATATATACTACGCGGAGCACGTGTGGCTCCACGGCTTCGATCGAGCTCGGTAACCGACTTACGCCGAGCTCGAAGATTCTCGGAATTTCGCAAATTTCTCCCTGTCGTATGTTGTTCTTGCAAAATTTGGCGCACAGGCACACGCCTGCCGATTGTAACTTACGCTCGTTAACCGATACGCTCAAATACACTAATTGCAATTGAATTCGTTTATCTAGATTCTATATAAAAGATGAATCCGCGCGCGTTTCACAAGTGCTTTATATTACGTTATGTATCGGAAATGTTATATACCGCGTTGCGTTCGATATGTTAATATAAATATCTCTCTATGTACTTTGCAGATATTACATAAAAAGTAAATTACTTTTACTTGGAAATTTCATACGGTGCGAAAAGTGTAGATCTATAATATCGATATTTATCTATTTATGTTTCAAATCGCTCCCTTCTACTTCAAAAATTACACAGTTAAAAAAACGTGATTTTCGAGTTATTACCATGAATGAGTTAGGTAAACGTTACTCTATCAATCATCAAAAGTCAACTAATTTAACTTTATAAAAACAAAAAACGTCCAATAGTAGTATACACACACACACACACACACACACACAAAACTCGAAAAAGTGGCTTATAAAAAAATCGTCAAAATAATCACAACACGAAAAATATTTTTTTAAGGCTTGTGAAATGGAACTAATAAAAATGACATTTGATCGTACGCCGATACTTTTTGCCGATACTATTTCATTAGTCGATAAATTTTTATCAAATTGAACGATAATCTTTTTTTCTAGAAAACTTAATTTCTTATTTCTTTGAAGTAAGTGAACGATGTGAGGGTAAGGTAATTCCGGGAGAAATATGCAGAATTTGAGAATGTATTATTCAGATCGGTTGAAATAAAATATTTATTCAATGATATAGAGCTAAAGGTTACGATCATTTGAATAGAGTAGACCATCAAGAATACGTCAGTTATATAATATTATACTGTCATTGACATTTCGCGCGCATTGTTGTTATTATTAGGATAGATTTTTGAGTAGCTAATTTTTAATCGTGTAAACTTTGAAAGAAATACGTTTTCCTATCGAAACTATTAGATACACTTGCTAAAAAAATTTCCTAGAGAGCAATTTTGATTTACATGTTAATATTGTAAAGAGAGTTAAACAGCTCACTGAAAGAAATTTCTTTTCTGGACACCTTGTATTTACTATTTTTTTTTCTTCTTTTTTTTCGTAATCGAGGCAATTGAATGAAGAGCGTAGTTACGTGGGCAGAGCGACGCCTTTGAGCTAACGACAATTTTATCGACTCGCGCGAAAAATTCACGCTGGCCGCAGCAGATACATTCGCTCCAACCGCCGTTATTACTATCAGCACGACGACATCGTATACGCGAACGCAATTGGTGTAAAAAGAAAAGAAATGGAATGGAAATGTAGCAGAGTTTGGCATCACTGTGCAATATTCGTGTCGCGTGTCCGCGAAATCGTCACCCCGAGAGGGTGCATCGTCGGACCTAAAAGGAAGGGGACCAACGACGCACGTCGGCATTTGTATATACGTATCGCATCTGCCAGTTTCCCGAATCAGGTGTTGAATGATCAGCTTTGAGTGTCGTTGACATAAGTGTTGCTGATTTCTCAATAATCGATCGTTGAAGTGCTTGTATCGCTCGATTGAACGGGTTGGACTGCGTATCGATGTGTTATTGTTAACGTTGTCTGTTCTCCCCACATGTGAACATTTTGCAATATAAAATCAATATATGATATCGCCGCCGATACGTGAGGTTTATCACATGCGTATTAGGTACGATGAAGAAAAGAAAAGAGAGAAAACAAAAGAATACAATATGACTGCGATCGATAATGCGCCGGAAATTATGTCTCGCAACTTTGGTTTTTCAAATGTTCCCTGATCTTTCGTATACATACATATATCGTAAAAGAGGATGTGATAGGTTCAATTATTTCCTTTTTTCTGCATTTGCAAAACAGTGCACTCTTAACTGTCCGGAGCTGACGTTAAATTTTCTAACTTAGTTGAAATCAAGACCTATTTAATTTATATCGATTAAGTGGTATTCATTAATTTGAAGGAACCAAAATGACTCGTACACTGAGAAACAGTTTTGCTCGAAAATGATCGAACACCAAAAGATTCTGATCACATCAATGATAATTTGTCCATTTTTAACCACAGAATTTTTCAATGAACGCAATCAAACTGTTTTCAGTATATGAAAAAGAAAATGTGTATTTTAATAATAACGATACAAATGATTCATAGATGTAACATATAGTCCATAAAGATTATAATTGAGTAGATCTAATAGACTACCATCAGCTGCTCCGCAGGGATATAATTGAATGGGTTCAATAGACTCTATTGTCAACTCCGGAGGGTTAACGATGAAATTATCTATAATCTATCTAACGTTTAATTGAACAAAAATTGGAAAAAGTGACACGAGAGAGAATTAGGATGTCAAGTTTTAACTACTTACAAAACATTAGACGAGGGTGGCTATAACTATCCGCAGTATCGAGGAATCATCGTACTAGCGACGTGTGTCGGGATTCGAAGTCGGTTGATTACGTCGACGTAATGGCGCGATTACATCGTTTAAGGTGTGATACAGGAGGAGTCGCCTTCTCCGTTAATGGTGAATAATTACGGGAACGAAGAACGACGTACTTGAGCGTGCGTGACCTTCCACAAGCGGATTTCGGCAGTCGCCGTATTGAGTGCGCGCGCGCGCGTTGCGTGCGAGTATATGTGCGTCGAGAAACCGCGTGTTCGTCGGGAAAAGAATAAGAGATACACGTATATTCGATCGTTCGCGCGTGTGTCTATGGCGTATGTGTGCGTGTATATGCTTTTCACGGTTTTCGGCCGGGTCTCAGCTGGCAAAAGCGTTCGTCGAGCAATCGTCATCGGCCGCGATGAGGAGCCCGTGACAGGCTACGGCTAATGCATTTTTTTCGTCAACGAGATTGCGTGTATCTTTTTCGCTAGTATCTATCCTTGGAGGGAAGAAACTGGGGGGGGGGGGGGGGGGG